GTAATTCAGTCGTTGACTTCAAACACTGACGTTAAGACTTTGCCCAAAAATCCTCTGTTTTTTTTTTGCTTCATTTTCTTCAGCGTGTTAATTATCCATCATCGTGTGTATTTTAATTTATCTTGAAGGTGGTTTGTTTGTGATGTGGAATCTGTTTCCTTTGATAATATAGTTGTTTTGTTGCAGAGGTCGTCAAACTGGTTGGTGATATTGACATCTGCGGCGGCATTGTTTTCGATTTTTGCTTTTCCTGCTGAGCCGAGATACTCAATATAAAACCCAGGTGATGGATATTTTAGCGTAATTTTTGTCTGTACTTGTTGGGTGACACTTACGAAAAGTATGATTATCATTGCATAATACATATTATCCTTATTCGTATTCCTTTAACTTACTTTCTGCTTATCCTGGTTGCTGCGGGCCTTATCAAATAAATACCTTAGAAATTTCCATAGATACCTACTCTTCTTCGTATAAGACCTCATCTATGTGAAGCTTCTTCTGTGCTGATCGATACTTGTGACTTGTGACCCTTGATCGATTAGTACTCTGGAAGTCATTTGTCAGCAAAAATTCAAGGTAGTGTGAGTGTGAACAAGTAGGAGTGGAAACAGATTTTTAAAAAGATCCATGATACAGGAAAGGACTGTGTCACTACCTCCATTTGGGGCAGCCCTTCTAGATGACGAATACGGGTATGGTAGCATTTAGCGTAGCAATAGAAACCGGTAGAGACATGCATCCTATAGGGTTAGGATTCATGTAAGGGCGTATGGGACAAATATGGATTATGGAAACTTCTTTTCCGCGAGACTAAGACTACGACTAGCATGCGCAATGACATGATCGCCATTGGTACTATGTTAGATAAATGCCGCGCCTAACCCATTATCGGATGTATCTGTCTGCAACAGAAATGGCTTCTAAAAATCGGGACAAGCCAATATTGGGGCTTTGGTGAGGTGGGTTTTAAAGTATCAAAGGCCGTTTGTCCAAAATAGGTCCAAGTTCATCGGATGCCCTTTTTAAGTAGGCAATTAAGAGGGCTAGCTATTCGAGAGAAATTCTGTACGAATCGGCGGTACTTTCATATAACTTGAGCTAGTTTTTCTCCATCCTTCCCCGCATGTGATATATTTGACATATTTGGAGGAGACCCTACAAGCTACAACCCTGACGTCAACCCTGTAAAGAAAGCTCGTGACAATACTAATATAGCCTATTGGGTCTCTAAGTTGTTTTTAAATAGAACACTGCTATCAATGTTACACGAATTGAAAAAAAAAAAAAAACTGCTGCCAACAACTAACTCCGTCTTTTGTCATCGCATTCCATGCCTTATGTCTACGAACAGTAAAAGTGCACATGTACACTGATTACTGAACGAAATTGCTGTGCTGTTCCGAATTGGGTAAATGGGAAATAAAAAGTCCGTAGCGTGAAACCTGCGCACGCACGCAACACACGTGTACCGCCATTAGCCGCCGTAGTCGTACTGGTCCATTCCCGTCAGCATCGTTTCGGTCAAACTGCTTGTTTTAAGCAGCTATTTGTTCAGGCCGGAGTGCCGCAGAGGTCGGCACTCGGTCCGTTGCTGTACTCTCTGTACATTGCGGATATTCCCAAAATTCCAAAATACAAATCTGGCACTGTACGCAGATGACACCGCTATTTGCGCTCAATCCTTTTACACACAAGCAACAACAATTCAGCTAGCCCATTACCTTTCAATCCTTCAACCCTATTATGATAAGTGCTTAGTGCTTGGTGTCAATGAACAGAAAACAGAACTGGTATGCTCTCACAAGAAGCATACATATAGCACCATGCCCACCCCACTTATTGTAAACAATATCCCAGTTACTCTGTCCTCGAAAGCCAAATTGCTAGGTATCATCTTTGATCAGAGAATGAATGAATTCCACCACCACGTTTCCCATGCTTTGGCTTGCACCTTCAGTATGCAGCAGAAACTCTACCCCCTCATCGGTCCTAACTCCCCCCCTATCGCCAGGTAACAAATAAATGATTTATAAACAGGTGATAAGACCTATGCTCACATATGGGGCCCTTGTCTGGAACATAAAATCCACAACGCAGAGGAACCGCCTCCAGAGATTTCAGAATCGAATTCTGAGGGAAGTGCTGTCAGAATCCAGGTAGGCCAGAATCAGGGACATTCATGCGCAAACTCACATTCCTTATGTATCTGACTACCTTGATGAAATCAACGACAAACTTTATAGACATCGGCAAATTCACGGCTCCCCTCTAACACGCAGAATGACTGCCAAAAGAAAGGATCCAGACAACCCCATAGTTCACGGTCCACCTTACAATAATTTTCCTATTTCGAACCCCCATGAGCACCTACCCATCCCGAACCTGCTAATCACACACCCAAATTAAATACCTACACCAATGCATAGCTAAAATCCTATCGTCAAGACAAAATTAGACAAGAAATTTTGGCGCTGGCGCCAATAGCCTCAGTCTAACGCAGGAGACTCAGTTCTTCGGAAAATTCCAACTATCCAGCGATTTGGTCTGTGACTAACTCCTCCGCCGCTGGACCAACAAATTTAGGCACAAATAGCCAAATAGGCTAAAAAACTGCATATCCCAATCCCAGTAAATTCTTGCACCCAATCCCCCCAACCCTCATTCTCTGACATCGCATAAAAACCTTTCCACCTGCACCAAAACCATTACCTAGAGACTCCTCGGATCCTAGAATTTGTCAAGGTGCCATGCAAATCATCCCACTAGGCACCACTTTTTTGTTTTTTGTTTTTATATTATCACTAGCTGACCCGCTGAACTTCGTACCGCCTCTGAATTATTAAACACCTATTAAATCGATCTAATCTAGGTCAATCGAATTCGGCTTATATAGAGATACGTGGTATTAAATTCAAGATCGGTCTAGCCGTTCTCGATTTCAAAAAATAATAAAGTTACGTCGGTTGAATGCGCAAGCCTAAATAAATGAAATGTGGCAACGTTGTTTCATGTTGTCAAAAAAAATGTTAGCTTATGTTGTTATGTAATGTGATTGACTTTGCTTATAATTAAATTAATAATTAATTCAAAATTAATTTCTTTTTCCGAGATGCGTAACCTATCCAAAAACCTTCCTTGGGACAGCCATAACAACCTACCAAAGTTTCATCGTAATCGGATAAGTGGTTTAGGAGCGCATAAGGCACAAACAAACAAACAAACATTGATTTATATATATATAGAGAAAGATAGTAATAGCGCTTTCGACTTTTGTCTCAAAATTTCTCCCGATTGATCAAAAAGCGATCCGAAGCGGATTCACGTGTTCGACTTGAGCAATAAACGCTCTCAAATCTCACAGGGGCGCTATTCCTTGCTCCGTCAAATTCGATAGATCAATGATTTATCAAAAACAAAGTACGTTCGGCTATTGATTTCAAATAGGGTGCCCTCGCTTGGATCATAATTGCTCTCGGAGCACTTCCGCAGAGATCTGTGACGTCACCGCCCAAATAGAGAGCGCTCTGGGAGCCGAAAATGCTATAAGATAGAACTGTTACGTCGGTTGAATGGCATTTAATGCGCGAACAAAAATAAGTTGGGTTATGCATTGGTGAAAAGCAGAAATTTTTTTTTTTTTTTTTTAGGATGGACCACCCTTATCACTTAGGGGTATAAAAAATAGCTTAAAACCTATTCTCAGACTTACCGAATATACATTTAAAATTTCATAAAAATCGGTGAAGCCGTTTCGGAGGACGAAGGTAACTAAAACTGTGACATGAGAATTTTATATAAATTAATTGGAAGTGGGGTTTTTTAATCTATTTTCCCCACAAAGAGGGCGCTGCGCGCTCGACAGCCCAAAGCAGAGCATTACCCCCTATAGTTGAGCAGGCCGGTATAGCGGCCCAATGCGCGCCATCCGTGGTATTTACCAACGGTCAAAAGGTCAACTAATGACGTGCAAGGGAAACCAGGCAACGTTGAGGACAGTTTCAAATAATGATGGGAACAGGGATGAAGGTCTGAACATCGACCACAACTAAGCAGGTGCCACACAGCGCGCTATAAGCGTGCATGTAGCACAAAGTGTGGGGCGATACACTGAGTGTTAGTTTGTTAAGTCCTGTCCTAGTTTTAAGTAATGGATGCACAAAGTTTGAGGGGGGCGTCACCCCCTACCTGAAGTTGTAACTGTTGATAGCCGAATTCCCATTAAAGAAGAGCTGCAATCGAAATTTATATTTTGACATATCTGGCAGACAAATATAAGTTGCCTCAATACAACCAATAGGTGTTCAGTCATAGGGACAAAATGCCATGGAAATGTTTTATCTCCCCTTGAAGAGAATGACTCAATCTAGTCTATTTTTGGAGAGAGGAAACTACACATGTTATTCCCGAATGTACAAAAAATACGAATACATCCCCGGTGCATCTTAGTAGATAAGCAATGCCGCTCCAGCCGCAATCCTTGCATTGACATATCCGCTGCATGATCTAAAATACTAGATACCTTTTTTTTTAGCATCAAATAACGACAAATTTTTATTTGTCCAAATTACAGGACGAACTCGAATTTGTTCTTCCAAAATTCCTGGTTTTATCGGAATATAACTTATACTGGTATTATATATCGTTATTTTATTTCAGTGGTTTCCGAGTTTGACCTTATTCTCTCTTCTCTTTGTTTTTATTGATAAAAGTTTCTTTTAGGGTTTTGGAACATGACACTGCAGTTTATGATTTAAAATGTATTTAATTACTGTCAACGTACCTGCTTAAAAAAAGCATCGTGCTAAGCGAATTGGATATTTTGTAAATCATCCTTATTTGCATAACAAAGGATCAATCACGAAACTACCGTTTACATGGTTTGTCATTTGCATACTACCCAACATCACTAAACACCAGCATTTGGCTCAAAGTGAAAACACAACAATAGCAATGCATTTTTTTTTGTAGAATTAACATAGGGAAATTTTTGGTTTCAGGTTTTTTAAATGCCAACACCGATCCATACTCGAAAAATCCAGCCAATTATGGCCTCATGGACCAAATAGCAGCATTACATTGGATTCAAGAGAACATCGCTTTTTTCGGTGGAGATCCTACTAATGTAACACTTTTGGGCCATGGTACTGGTGCTGCATGTGTTAATTTTTTATTGACTTCTAGTGCTGTACCCGAAGGTGAGAATTAAGTTCTTGTATTATGTTTATTCGAAAATGTTGAAGATTTATTATAACAAAAATTGGTGACCGCCGAATTTCATTAAATAAATGAAATGTCGCTATTTACTTTTCAAAACAAAACTATCTATTATAATAAGTAATAAAGACTGTATAACTCCAATTATGCCGTAATAACTTAATCGGCTAACATTGCCTTATGGTTACACAAGCTACAATAACATAGGATTACCGTAAATATACAAGATTCTCACTAGTTATAACAACAGTTTCTGTAAACATTGGTCGCTATCCTATGAGCCATTTAATATTTACTAGCAAATATATAACAGAATATTGTCTTTATAAAGGGATTTCAGTTGGCATAAGTAAACTTTACGATAACTGTATTATCTATGTTCAAAGCCTTGTGTTAGTTATAGAATCAAAACAAATGGTCAAGCTAGCGTCAGAACTATATTATTTATGTTATAGCTATACGAGGCTCTCAATAGCAGAAATTGGTGAAGCAGAATATGTAATACAAATGAATATAGATAAGAGATGGTGTTTAAAAAAAAAAACTTATTGTAGGAACACAAACATATTTGCACGAAACCCTTCATGTGAAGTGTATTCCTTTGAGGTTAATTTGAAATTTACCCGCATTTGACCTACTTTTCCAGAACAAACTTATCTACAAGTAGTGGAAGAAGGCAAAAAAACACTTTCTTAGTCGTAAAACGTTTTACTGATACTTATATGGCGAGGGGTTAATTTTCTTTTACGACTGAAGTTGTGTTAGTGAAACAACTTCAATTTTTTATACCTACTAATCCAATACAATGAAGCTTTCTTACTCATAGGGTAAAGGTAAAAATTATGGTTTAATTGACATTAATATTTTAAAATGATAGAATTATTGATACCGAAGTTTTGAAAGAGAGCAGGAATTGGCACGCTTTTCTTATTTCGAGTAAGTGATTTCTGTTTATTAGGTTAGATGTTGTATAGTTTCATCCCATAACGTTTTTGACATTCCAACTTCATCATCATCAATGACCTTGCTTTTCCTACCACGCTTTGATTGTACAGTGGGAATCATTGCAACTGGCACACACTCTTTTTAAAATCCCTCGTATTAGTACAAAATTCTAACCAATAAATCTATTTAGTGCAGCATTTTGCTATTATTGTGTGTCAGATTTGACACATTACGAGGGATATTTATATAGTGTGTGCCAATTGTAATGATTCCGACTGTACCTTTCTGATTTTCTATTTTGTTCTGGTATATCTATTTTGTAATCTATGATAGCTCTCCATTTTCTCTACAAAAATTCTGTAAATCAGCAAATATATACTCTTTGAGTGGTATCTACTTTTATTTATTCCTGAGCTATTGTTTTCTTTCTGGAGGATCAGAGTCTGGTGGTCGAACGTCATCTCAGCTGATCCACACTTCGAGTCGTAATGACGAAGAATATGCAGGTGCCAAAATAAGCAGTATCGGTTTCACCAATTTAAGATTTCTATTCCGAGGTGGATCTCGTAATAAATAATACTAAAATTGAGTGGTCTATTGAATTATTGTCGAATAAACCCTCATATAACAGAACCAAGTCTAATTGAGGTTTTACAATATTGGAGCAAAGCTCATAACAAAAGAAAATAATATAAATAGGTGAATTAATAATTCAATTCTCAAACGATGACAAAGAACATACAATAGACAAAGCAAAGTTGAGACCACAGCGAACTGTAGATAATTATAATATAATAATACGTTTTCGCTGGATACGTAGAAAATTCAAATGAGAATTCATCGCAGGATTTTCCATAACAGGTTCAATAGAAAGTGACGTTGGAAATATTTTTAAAAAAATGCAATGTTTTGAACTATTTAGTTGAATAAAAGGAATTTCACAGAAAATGTTAGTACTATCATCTTTGTTCTTGGTAGGTAGGTACTGAGACTTCTAACTGGCAGAGGAACGATACCAGTAGCAAGTCTCAGTTCCAGGAACAGATCATATTTCAATATTTTGAGGCATATTCAGTGCGCTTGGAAATTCTAATTATTTACCTACTCTTAATTTTAAATACCCTTCGTGATCACAGGAGGCTTAGGTAGGTATATACGATCTGTATTATTTTGATAAAACGGAGCGAAACGGAAGTGAGTCTCAGAGCCTTATAATAGATTCTTGATTCTGGTACGCAGTAAGATGTAAAACAATAGACCGAGTCCTTATTAACCATAATTAACGCAAATTCCTATACAATATATTATTGTCATTGAAGGAATGTACCTATTATTGTCATTAATGGGAGATTACGAATGAATAAAAAAAAAAACACTGAGCCAAAGTTAACAAAGGATTTTTTTAATTAAAAAATAACCATATGTGGTATGCCGATTATTACTGAAACAGTCTCTAAATTAATTGTATGCTACACCCTCTCGCTCCTCATACGGAAAGTGTCAGATTAAAAACGACGGACAGTATCTGGTAGTCTGGAGAGTTCAAAAAACTGATCTGGAATATAATCATCAAAATTGATAGAGAGCAGCAGCTCTGCGGAGAAGGGCTCTGGGCCTCAAGAACGATCCTTGAGTTTTGAACCTCATAGCAATCACGATCCTGGAACATCGAAAAAAACTGAGAAATAGATTCATGAAATATAAAAAAAGCATAGATAGTATTGATTCGAATTAAATAATCGTATGTTCTATGATTATTGACGTCGATAAACTAGATGAGATATTATTTTTAGACCAGATACTAGTGACATAGAAATAAATTTACAAGTATTGAGAGAGATTCTGTGATAAAACCGTACCCTTTTCCAAGTACCTACCCTTCGGTCACTCAAGAGCCAATAACTAAGTCACTCACAAGTCAATAACCAGTTGAACGGGACATGATCATGTATAAAAGAAAAATTAAATCTTAATAAAAAAAGACCCTGATGAAAGTTCCATAGGTCAGATTAATGCCTTAATAAGGATACAATATTTGCTTGAAATAAGAGGACATAATGTTTAGCATTTTTAATTTGACATTTTTCATATGAAGAGCGAGGAGAGGAACAATAGAGCAAAGATAGGTGTAAGGTCAGGTGACCATGGGCGTGCTAACCTAGGGAGCCACAAGCTCACATTCCTTTGGAGTCTTAGATTATAAAAGTCGGATTGTACGTTGGCTTTAACAGGTAGGCGATAGCGGCACTGTTGTTATATCATAAAGCTCTTGTCCGCGCGTTGACCAACAGGTGGCCGTACATTAACGGATTTTCCCTGTGGACTGGAGGAGGAGTGAGCATTCACACCAAAGTAGCATGCGACGTGCGACTTGCTGCTAGGAAGCAGGAATCACGAAAACTATCAAAATATATGATACATGGTGCCACGTCGTATTTTTGCGATGCCAATCCGGTGTGAAACCTTCCATATATTTCTAAAGGTTCTAAAATAAGTGGCATGCTTCTTGCTTCCTAGCAGCAAGTCGCACGTCGCATGCTACTTAGGTGTGAATGCTCACGAGTCACATAATCCCTTTGGTAGCTACGTATATTTCTTCTTGCGGTCGCGTTAACCAATGAATGCTGCTCATTTTTTTCAATACCATCAAAAAAAGCCTCATTCAAAATTTTCACGCCACTCTCACTCCTCGACACAAATTATTGTGTTAACGCAAATTGAGTGTATCTCATTAAATAGTTAGCCTTTTCAAGTGGTTCGACATGAATTGCAGCTGTGTATCAGGCTTATATGCAAATTATAGGTAACTTCTTTCCCAGTTATACAGAATAATTTATCTAGTATTAAAAATAACACTCGTTATTTGTACTTTCAGACAAGAGAACCTATATAGGGTCGTGGAATTCAAAAAAAATTAAGATAACGTGTACCCCGTTTATGTGCAAATAAAACCACTCAAAATCCAACAAACAATAATTTTATTTGATTTGTTTACAATATAGTAACAATAATGTTACTCTCTTGAAAATTTGACAGTTGACAGCTTGGTTGCTCTTGTGAATCTGACACATCTACATTTCCAATCCGGAGCTCTCCAATGGATGTTCGGGTTCCACTTTCGTGAACTGGATCTCTTCGTGTTGTTTCCTGTATCCAGGAAAAAGGATAGATTGCTGGGATGACGTCACTCCAGCTGATCCAGACTCCAAACAGTGATCTTTTATGTCGAGTAGGTACCCAGAAAAGAATAAGGCAGTATCAGGTTCATCAAGATTTGGCATATTAAATCCTTGAATTCTGTCAAAAAGCAAGTGTCTTGCAAAGACAAAAAAAAATACATTATAAAACTATTGTTGTGCTGACACTCTTTTCCAACAGAATCAGGTATGAGCAACTATTGCAAATTAGAAATAAAATTATTTTAATATACAAAAAATAAATAAATAATTGAAAATAATCATAAGATAATAGTAAATAGTAAAATAGGTAATAACAGCAAGATTAAATTAAAATGCTCGTTACAAATTGAGCAGGGTACTGCTTTTCTGGCAGTAGCAATAAACCGGCAAAAATAAGAACAAATGTAGCAAAAGTTGAGTCAGATAAAAAAATAAAAAATTAAATCTCTAGATTCTCCCCAAATAGACAAATTTAAAATTTTCCCTTTTAGTTAAGGTACCTACCATAGATACTACAAGATAAACCTAAGGGTGAAATCAATCAAATCCAGGAACTCTCAAAATTCTTGAGATGTTTTCATTAAAACTTTTTAAATGAATTTCTGACCTGTCTGGATTTCTATTTTAAAAATTACACCCTTTTTCAACACTTTTCTCCTTGAGAAGATAATAATTGAAGCAGTCAAACAGAAAATGGTTATACAGGCCTCTGCCTAGATTCAATAAAGAGCTGATAGGGATGGACACACAAATTTGGTTTTCACCGACTCTATTTAGAGCAAACTGTCCAATAATCCCACACTAACAATGGATTCTGAAAACCAGAGCAGCAGTACCTATTTATTAAGAGGGGCGTTTAAATAAAATGTCATTTACAGACCTTCACAAATTTCTGTTCAATTCCAAATTTAGACCACTTATCAGTGAAATGAAGTTATGTTCATAACAATAATAGATTGGAGTAGAAGTCGAAGCATTTTTGGTTGCAAAATACGCATTCTAAATAGTAAAATTATTACCATTTTGTTGACAACAATATGCAAATTTTGGTCACGGATTTAAATGAAAAAGGGATAAACATATAGAGTAGCACACCTACAATAAATGTCCAAAATTTCGGATAGTAAAATGCTGGAAAAAATGAATAGAACAGAATTTTCGGAAATTATAATTTTTGTATCACAAAATTAATCAAAATCTGCCAAACCACGAGGTGATTGCTGTCATTTTCAGCAAAGACTCAAACCCAACGTATGTTCAGCGCTTCTCTAAAAGATGGCGCTGAGTTCGGGAAGGATAGTCACTTCTTTTAAACGCCAGTAAAAACTGTTTCACCTAGCTAAAAATGTGAAATACTATTATTTAATTTGTATCCGAATAAAATTATTTAGTCCACTGTAAATTACTGTGTAAACGAATTGATATTGAAGATGTCGCCATCTACTTGTAAATTATTCAATTACTCACAGAGAATTTGAACACCTGTGATTAAAAAATATTTAATGTATGTCATAAAGCCCAAAAGATGGCGCGCTGGCTCTTATCTAACGCCCCTCTTAACCCAAAAATCTGAATTGACTTACCTCAGAAAAACGTGTAACCACCAATCGGCAATCACACACAAAATGGAGGACCACAATTAGTAAAAAAAATTAAAATATAATATTTATATTTTAAAAGTAGATAAGATAAGATTTATCAGGTAAAAACTCAACAGTGATATGGTAGTATATCTGAAGGAAAAAATTACAAAAATCAAATTTGACTTGCCTGCTAGAGCACTGCCAGAAGAAGAGGAAGTTTTAGAAACCAAACCCTACAGGAAACCAATCTGGTGTTTTTTTTATACTCGACTGCGTATTAGCCAGATCAACCAGTCAGAATACAACACTCAACACACAAAAGACCGTGCTCACTTAATAAATGAAACACTACATGGATTAAAAAAGAAAAGATAAAAATCCATTAGAGTTATTTTAATGGTTTACAAATTACAATAATTTAAATTAAGGTTATGTTGAAAACAAAAAACTACTAATCAATTAGGTCATTAAAAACCAAAATTTATCATTTCAGAATCAGAAGTTAGAGAAAGACAGAAACATCCATTTGCTAAAAGTGAGATAAATATAATTTCTTTAAATTAAAATACAAATGACTGTCAATGAGAAATAAATAAAAATCATATTTTAAAAAATAAATCTATCCGGTACTAGATGGCGGTACCTTTTTTAATAATAGATATTTTGCATTTTATGCTGATGATGGATAGATGGCATTACTGCTATTATATTGAAATTTGTAGATACTTTTAGATTACTCAAATCGTGAATTATTATTTTGCTGATTCTGAAATGGCAAAAATACAACTTTATAATGAAAATAAGAAGAGATGGAACACGTTACGTAAATGATAAATTTACCGTAACACTAGCCAAGACCAGTAACTTTGGCTTTCAACTCTACAAAACTGAAAACAGAAAATTTAAGTTAGTTAATATAACAACATCTAAAATATTTATCCAAAATAATTGTGATCGAATTCACGCCGTACCATTTCAGCTATGTCCCACGAGATAAATCATAATCCAATCTTCTTGAAACTCTGCCAGGTGCCACTGTCCTTTTTCTGTAATTGACTTATTGGCCGGAAATAGCCCGATGGCGATCGATTGCAGCTAACTTCTCGACAAAAGGTGAGAGCCGCTTTTCTTCTGCAAGTCCGAATTCTTTTATTACATATTTATCTTTCTCATGCAATTAAACACCTACAATTCACCTACCTGGCCTTATCAAATGGATTGCCTCTAACACATCCGGTAAAATCGTGGCTTAAAGTCGTCTCCCAATTAAAGCCCTACAGAATTTACAATAGCTGAACTTTTACCTTTCCTAATAGTATAAATATAATGTGTATCATCCAACCTCAAATAGCTTCTCGATAGTTTGATCCCTGATCTATCTTATTAAAGTTACTTTGTCAATAAATTGATCTTGATGCAGATCCAAAAAAAAAAAAAAACTTTTATAAAATGGTTTTGCTTGGGGCTTTCTTCTGTTCTCGTAAATTATTAGCTTAATAAAACTGATAATTTCTGAAAAGACCATCAATAGTCACGTGTCTCATGCAATAACTAAATTCAACGGTCTATTCAAGAGCTGCCGAGCGTGCAAAATTGCAAATTGTATAGATGAATGTTTGAATATTGTTATCGCCCAGACTCCTGAATACTAAATACAAATTTCAGAGTTGTGCGTGCTCTTCTTTATTAATAACTTAATTAAGCAAACCCTGCTAGATACAGAAACTTGGAAGGCGCTTTCATAAAATAAATAAAGCTAGTACCTAGATATCTATTTATTTTTCAGTATGAAAGCCCTAAAACTACAATAAACTTGTATTGTTCATTACATAATTCAATTTGAACTTGTTTTTCTCGAACAAACTTACCTTTAAATCTAACGAACGCTGCCTGGAATACTATTTCAGCAAGGCCACGTTTTTCTTTTGTCGACTAAGTTAGATTGATATAATCTGACGCATTTGCTTGTAGTTCAATTTAACGTTTTCTTTTTTTTTTCAGGAATCTTCCATCACTTTGTATTCACATTAATAAACTACCAATTATATGCGGTGAAGCATTACAACGTAATAATTGGGTTTCGGCTTTGTAGACTCATAAATCGATAAAATAGGTTCTTGAATAAGTATTCCCTTGAATGTTTGAAATAGATTTGATTGATCTTCTCCGAATTTAAAAATAGGTTTTTCTTTGAAATATCGTACAAAGATTTAGCCAGAAGTTTGTAGTTAAGAGTAGAATCTTCAATTTTGCAACAGCCCCAAAGGCAATGATTAAAAATACTGCTCTTACTTGGCTCCCCCTGTATATTTTGATTAGATATTTTTTCTACAATTGATGAAAGGCCCCCCCAATATTCACACAAAACTTCACAAAACTCCAGAAAATTTAAAAAATATATATTCAGAGCCAAATGTAGATTTCATCCTAGGCTTATAATTATAGGTTCATGGTATCTACATATTTTGTCAATCAATGTAGGTTAAGATTAGTTAGGTACTAGAAAAAAAATCTATAACCATACTAATCTATATCTAAAAAACTTATATTTCTCAACTCAATAAGCGCATGACCATAAATATGACATCAAAGGTATAGAAAAACCAATATTATCCAATGAAGCCATAAGCATTTATGAGCAGAATAGAAAGGAAATATTTAAATGAAAAGTTTTCTAATAAGCTAAATCCAAAAGAAAAAAAAAACTTACCTCAAATAAACTTTATTCAATTCTTGTTACACGGGAAATCTCTTAGAACTAAAGAGTTTCGTATCTTTCTGAAAAATCTAGTCTAAGTAATAAGACCAGACCGGGGGGAGTTTAAATTGTTTTCATGCGGTGCAGCTTTTACCTTTCGTTTAAATCTCTGGGGCGAGGTTAAATGGATTTGAGTAATGGACAGACTAAGTTTTGATAGTTGATTTTATAGCCATGAAATTCCTTACTAAAGCACATTTCGTGTTGACTCGAGACCTCGGCTTACTTACATTTAAATTGATAAATGCAAACAGTTTGTTACTTAATATTCATTAAATTAAATTTTTTGTTTTATTTTTCAGGTGTCTTATTTCACCGAGCTATCCTTATGTCAGGCTCAGCACTGAGTCCGTGGGCCTTGGTCCAAGAGCCTTCGAAGTATGCAGCCTTAGTAGCTGTTCACGCAAACTGTTCACCTGAACTACCTCATTCTCACTTACTCAAGTGCCTGAGAGAAAAGCCTCTGGAGACGCTCATGTCGACTCCGGTCATAGCTCCTGAATTCTCGTTTGCCTTTGGACCAAGCGTTGATGGGGTTGTTATCGATACTGGAGAACCACCAGGTAACAACATCAGTATCTCAGTAGTTCCAAGAAATATAAATATGAATAAATGTGTATCATAATGTTAGGCACTATGAATAATTATTCTCTCTTTCAATTGACTGTTAATGCCTAACGTGAAATTGGGAAAATGGCTTCCAATTTTTGCTTTTTCAACTGCAACTACCCAATGGACTGTTTTTTCTAGTTTATACATGAAGCAGCACAAATAAAACATCCTCATTACACGAAAAACATAAATTTAATGTCCGTAACACGCAACAAATATATCAAAATTATTTTATAACCAGACAGCAGGCAAATCATTGGAGTGCATAACAAAGCAAAATATGCTGTAAATTTCATCAGAGAACATATCAAATGTTTCATTGTAATATTTTACAATGAAACAATATAATATCACGTGAAACTGTTCTCAGGCATCCACGTTTATATTAATGGTGTTGCAGATAAAGCTGTTATGTGCGATATACGCGAAGCAATGACGTACAACCATTAGAACTATTTATTGGAATATTTTCACGATTAAAACTTAATTTATGCTGGATTTAAATTGTTGTTTAATATATTTCGTTAAAATGATTAGACATTTTAGGATTTTTATTATATCTTCCAATAAACGGCAACGTGTTTAGCATTCCTAATCAATATATATCGTGGGCAGTTGATAACGATAATGGAATAAACAATACTAGAAATCGCCCCTTGCGATGCTTTAATTTCCAAAATAGAATAATTAAAAGTGTTTCAGTGAATAAAATTTAAATTGTAGTCTCGATTGTTATTTAAAATTACGGTACATTATAGGACTAAGCCACAGTTAGTTTTTATTATATTTTAATATAACTGGAATTGTTTTCCTGATTAGTCCGCAACAGGACCATCAATAACCAAGGGAGATTATACTGAGGGATGCCGCAATCAAAAAGCAATAAATCAGTGGTTCCTGATGCATTACAAATTAAACTTATCATGTTGAATGACGATGAATATATCCCAGTGGAAAATATTCTAAAATAAAACAAAATTTGGGTATAACGAAGTTAAATACTTCAAGTACTTTGTAGATACCTTGTTTTCTATTTTGGTTACTATTCTGTCTTCCGATTTTCCCACCTCTTATTGAGGTGAAGTGCTTTTTACAACGTCTTCAATATTGTTTTATTTCTTCAACCGTCCCCTGTACTTAGCGAACTCCCATCTTTAATAATCACTAAAGAATCTATCGATTTACCGTGGTAATATGGTTAACAAGTAGCCTATATTGGTGTTATCCACTTTCATACAACGGATATATCCGGGAACAGTCATTAATTTTAAGTCACAGCTTAGGTCCGTGTCCTTGAAATAATATCTGTACCAGGTTCTATTAGCTCTATCGTTTTATTTATATCCACTTCAATTTCACGTCCCTTAAGAATGTATATCGGCATTGTCAAGTTCTCCATCCGAATGAATAGATATTTAAATATCACATTTTTTTGTTAAGAATATTTTATACCATTTTAGGTTTTTAGATGATACAGGATTTAAAAAATATATGATTTGATTAGACGTAATATGCCCTTTAGCTTTTTCTTCATACTCAATATTTTATATTTCGAATTTAAAGTAAAAGTCATTTATATTGTCACAACCCCTATACGTTTCGTCCTAGGACGTCACAACAGAAGCATGACCTGGGAGCGTAGATGGGTAGAGGGATACTCGCTTGGTATAGGTACAATAAGATATGTATTGATAAAATAGAATAATATAACCGTATGAATTAGAACAGAACTTCTACGTACTACTTAGGCCACTCTGTAGACTGTAGATTAGGTACACTCTGTACACTTGACGTGACTGAAGACTGAAGCTGGGTTTGAGACAGGTCCAGAAGGGCGTTTTCCAATAAAGGTAGTTTCCGCTGGACCTAGTCTGCTGCGTTCAATACTCCCAGAGGGGTGTTGCCCAGTAAAGGTAGTTTGCACTGAGGGGAGACTTAGCTAGAGGGGCTTTTCCCAATTGAGGTACTTTGCACTAGCCTTAGTCTGCCAGTAATGGATCTCGGCCCGGTATTTATATCAAATTAATGCTGACTCGTCGACACACTTTGATAAAATTGATGTACAGAGTGGTTATTACTTAAGTAGTTGACAATATCTATAGAAGACTTTGGGTTATGAGGAACTTCACTGATTTTTTTTTTTTTTTTCAACTCTAGGGTCCTCTAGGTATACTCTTCGGGAGTCTATTGAAAAAAGTTTGTACATAGTGGTTTCTACAAGTTCTTGATTTTTCCAATTTTAAGAAGTCCAAGTTTATATTGTCCATCTTTGGAGTATCATAGTCATGGCCATTTTTATGGTTATGATAGTTATTTATATTTTGTTTTGCATAAATCAGGCACTCAGGAATATAGTTTTCTGGGGTGATAGGTACCTATACCAAGACTTGCAAAAATATCCCTTACATCCGCTCTGTATTTCATTCCTTCAATTCTCTCAACATGAGAGAATGTCCCCCTACGCAATACGCATAGTTTGCAACTGAATGAAAAAACCAATGATACACAGTAAGTACTTTAGTTTTCTCCGTCATTTTTATAAGGGCTCTGATAGGAAAGATCGTTTATGCAAGTTTTTTCACTTTGCTATCAATACGTGTCTCACATGTAAGTTTTGGGTCACAGAACACAGCCGAGAATTTGATCTATTGTAGATTTAGTTCATTTTGTCTACGCAATCTTACGGTAATTTTCTCAGTTTTATCCATTAGGCCCAGGAAGGAGAAGTTGAACCTCGCAAACTCGACACAAGTTCTGTCTTGTTTCTTTTTTTTTCTGGTAGAACAAGGGCTGCTTATTATGGGTCTAACTTTTTCCAACAAAATTTCTCCCTGGAACATCTCCTTTCATCCCCCTAAAGGGCGTTTTTTGTGGTTTTTCCAAAACGTAGCGCTTCCGCTACGTTCTACAAAAAAATACCTTCATAGTAAATTAAAGAGGACTAATGGCCGGTATTATAAATCACTGAACCGATGGTTGAGTTTCAACCTTCGGTTGACTCTATGCAAATTGATAGGATTCAACCGAAGGTTGAAACCAATGACATCAAAACACAGATAGACGGAACAATAAACAAAATTTTCGTATGACAACATCTCTCTGTCTCTTTTGAGTCTTGTGCTATCCCCACCACTGAGAATGCCAAATTTTTTCTTGAATCCCTAAATAATATATTTTCCTCCTTTTCTAATTAACGTTTTCAATTTTATTTCTGAACTCAATTTGGCAACAGCAGATTGTAGCAAAACACCGCCCAGAAGCGGCTTGTTGAATGGCAGGCAGGTGTTGGTTGGAGTAGCTAGCTATTTTTATCGCACACAGGGATTATTCATTAGCGTTAAACAAGAAACGACCAATACGATATTGGTACTCCCAGAATAAAGGGCTCGTATTGAATATTTTCAGTTTATTTGTCAATTTGTCCTTTTATTTATTCATCCAATTAAATTTTGAGATATATTCACATGTGGGCGGGGTTTTTTACACCATTTTGAGCAATGTTGTCTCCCCACCCCGACCCCGCGAGCAACTCACCTCTCCTGGCCCATGGGTGGTCTTGTCAACACAAATATTAGTTTATGAATGGGATGATCCGTCTATCTGTGTTCTGATGTCATTGGTTGAAACTCAACCATCGGTTCAGTGTTTTTTAATACCGGCCCTTAATGCTCTACAATTTATCCACGGACAGCATATGTCTATCACCTACCCTTCAGCCAGGGTGGCGCTCTAAAGTTGAATGACCTTGGAAAAAGATGTCATGGATTTTTTTTTTAACTAAACAGTAAAGCAAATATACCACAAACCATGCAGCACATACTCATATATAATTGGCCGATTTTTTGGTGTATGTTTGATTTAAAAACAGTTACCTGTTCAAGATATACAGGGTGTTGAAATTAAAACCACCTCCTTTCAAATCATCTGAAGGGCTAATGCTGGGCTGTTCAAATTTTCAGGGATTATTGATGTATAATATAATGCACCCCCATATTCAAACTATATAGAACAACCCAAAAAAAAAAATTGAAAAAAAAGCAATTCTTAACAAATTTAATTTTTTTTTGGGGGGGGGTTCAAGGTAGAAAATGGGGATGCATTATTCGAATTTTTAAATATCATTCCTACATCAATAATCCTTGGAAGCATTAGCCCTTAAGATGTTATGAAAGGGGGTTGTTAAAATTTCAACATCCTGTATATCTTAAATGGGTAACTGTTTTTGAATAGAACATATACCAAAAAATCGGCCAATTATTTATGAATATGTGCTGCATGGTTTGTGGTGGATTTGCTTTACTGTTCAGTAAAAAATAAATAATTTCCAAAACATCCTTTTTCAAGGTCATTCAACTTTAGGGCGCCATCACGGCTAAAGGTTAGGCGATAGATGTATAATCTGACAAGTGGTAACTTGGTAGAGACGAAAGGGGGAAGAAAACTGGGGCGTGACCTAAGAATATTCACTTACACCTCAACTGACACCGCCTGATGGCAACCATGTCTTTGGGTTCAGTGGCACCGGAAGCACTAAGGAAATAAAGCAAAAAATTATTAGGAAAAAAATTCTTGAGTTTCACCAATAACCACGCCACTGGTGCTGTCGTTCAGGCTCTAACCAATAGAATGCCTCTAAGGGCCGAATTTATAGTCGTTCTTTGATTCTTCCTTGGATTTATAGTCGTTCTTTGATTCTTCCTTAAGGTCTGAGGAAACCTCAAGAAGCGACTATAAATTTGGCCCTAAATAATCGCGCCTCTCCACATCCTTCATTTCGCAATGTTGCCGGATTTTTTTCTATTTCAAAATACTACACATGCCCATATTGCAAAAAAAAAATATGTCACCAACTTGTTTATTATTGTTTCTGTCAAGTTTGGCAAAGCAGCAAATTCTATTGCAGTTCGCCGTTTGGCTAGCCAAACTATAATGCTGTCGCTAGATAAATTGT